TGCTTTCCAAATTTCTCTTTGATACACCCCAGCCACCCTAAATTCAGTCTGTCTCTGCTTGGTACAGAAACCCATGACATCAGAAGGAATTCAAAGGATCCTTTTCTAAGCATATTTTTCTAAATATATAATTTTCTTCCATTCTTATTGTACCCAGACATCAACACAGCAGCACCTTGATGGTTGCTAAAAAGGGTGCCCAGCACTGGGTGGTAGGAGTTTGGCAGTGTATTTCAAACCCAGGAGTCTGAGTTTAAGAGCTGGAGCTCCCAGGTTTTGAGGATTTTTGCTCCCTTACAGCCTGCAATTCAAACCCTCAAGGATCCAGGAGAGTAAATGAGCAGGAAACTAGAGCACAATCAGAACTAACCACCCGTTAAATAATTTGTGCATTTAGACAAATGAAAAACAATTGTATTAAGAACTTCTGTTGAGCTGCATTTAGTTCTCTGTAGGACAGAAGTCTAGAGGTGTAATTTTACTTTGAAATAAATGATGGGATTTATCACACATACCTAAGAATATGAAAAACAAAAAACAAAAACAAAACCAACACAAAACTCTTTCAATTTTACTGAGAGATAGGAAAACAAGTAATATGACACAGCACAGTGAGATTCTTCCTGCCTCTGCTTGCCAGAAATAAAAGATTTTCAAGTTCATCTGAGTTCAGCATAGAAATAATAGATACCAGACTGGGAAAATATTTCGACAGTTGCCAAGAAGACAAATGAAACTAATACATATTACCACATACACAAATAATAATGAAACAGTTTATATCTCTTCTCCATAGAACTTCTTGCACAGGGATTATGCACTGTGAGACTCCAGTCAATGCAATGTACTGTACAAATGTATCATTATTCAGGGAAGTGGTGAAGATCCTGGGGACTAATTTTCTTGTAGCAATAATAATTCAAAAAGCCTCCCACAACAATAATTGTTTAAACAGCCTCTGAATTGGGACCAGAACATCTGAATATTTGTGAAAACAGCTTGGAAAAAAATAATAATATTATTTGACTCATAGGACATGAAACAAATCAACATTTATTTGAAGAGAAGGACGGAGGACCTAAAATGCACCCCTCCAACCATGTCTTTTCACAGTTCTCTAAACTTGTGTCACTCTTCCTAGCACCTTTATAACAGAAAATAATCCAACTGCAAAACCATCCTTCTTTTTACTCATCTGCCCTTCCTTCCTCTTTACAAAATTACTATTCACATTTTAATTTGGTTGTAAACATTTAGAAAGTGGGTATGTGCAGCTTTCTTTAACTCATATAATTGTGCATCTTGAAGTTTTGTTTCACCAACCTTGTGTCCTTCTCACCAAATGGTAGGTTTATCTGTAACACCTGTCCACCCAGTTTGCTGAATTGCCAAACAGCTTCAACTCACTTCAGTAAAACACTGAATAATGTACAGATAGATTTCACCCTCAACACAGAAAAGATTGTAAGAACATCATTATCTACCTGTTCGTCTGGGATGAGTCCATAAAAACTGGGCAGACAAATGGGGAAACAACACTGATATGTGTGTTATTTTTTCCTGGGTGTGCAGCAGAGTGTATTGATCCACTCAAGTCTGGTAAAGCAACAAGTGACAGAACAGATCACAGGTGGAGGGAATAGACCTGGAGACACAATGGATGTGTTTAAAAGCCCTACAGGAGCCATGCCTCTGGATTGGGAACTTTCTTTCTAAGAAATAGGTGGGCCTAGGGGAATGTTCCGCAGGTGGAGGAGATTTTCTTATATACCTCATAGTACTTAAAAGGCAGAAGTTCCTACATTGCTCAGTCGGAAACTATTTCCTTTTCTTGCACACAAAACCTGGAAAACCCCTTTTTCTCCTTGCCTTGCCTTCAGCATTCATCATTTGAAATGCTAGAAAACCTGAACCCTCACATACCCAACCTTGTGTTTCATACAGCTGCCTGGAATCCTTCCAGTTTCCAGTTCATGCCTGCAACACCATCCACTGGTGCAAAAGCAAAGGATCAGTGAAGCTTCAAGAACACCATCTCCATTCTGTGCACATTCTTTTGCACTCAATATTTTACTTAGTTTCTATGAAAAATTAATATAACTCAGAACATAAACCACAAATCAATTTGTATGGGACTTTGCAGTGTAAAAAACCAAAGGATAAAAGGGAATATAGAATCTACTTAACAATCAAAAAGTAGAAATGTTCTTCTGTACAAAAAAGAAACAAAGAAAAACAAACAACAAACCACCCCTCTGAACCCAAGGCATAGAAGTAGATAACTTGGAAGTAACAATTTTAAGCCAGAGGAGGTTTGAAGTAACACTGACTGTCCAGCACATTGCCAGCACCCTGCTCTTCACTGTCTGTATCCTTTAAATATGACCACAAATATTTAATTTTGTTTATGTTCTTTGTATCTCATGGCAAGCACCAAAAGCAGGATGCACATTTGACCCACAATCATCAGTAAAATGATGATCTGTCATTTTCCAGATATCATCAAACAGCACCAAAATCAAAACATTAATGTCCAACTAATTTCTCAAGCTTTAAAACAAGAGCAGGACTGCATTGGTTTGAGGGGGCAGAAGATGTTAAAGATGTCAATCTTTGTCAAATCATCTCAAAGCTGACATTCTCTGACAGCCTACCCACCTCTTGCTTAGACTTGGAGCTGTGTCATGTTTGTTCTGTGCCTCTCAGTTTTACCCTTTTGAAGCTCTTCCAAGCTTTTAATATCTTATCCAAGTGAAATCTTTTGATTGTCATAATGAACATGCTTAAGATTATTGTGAATCCCCAAAATGTCTATCCCCAGTTTCAAGTAGAAGTTGAAATACTAAAGCAAATTCTGCCAGGGTAGAAAAATGGGTGAAATTGAGTCTCTGGACAGGTGATTCCAAACAGGACCTGCCTATGAGGTAAGTAGCTCATCTTCCATCCTGGTTAATGGGGATTGAATAGGTAGTTGAAAATCTTTGTTTAAACAACTGAATGGAGACCCCTGGCTTACCTGCCTGCAGCTCTGTAGAGAAATGTACATTTAGTGTCTTAATCTGTAAACTAAATCCCATCCCTGGTATCCGCTAAAATCAGCTTGGAAGACATTTAATGCAGTATCCTTCTCAAATCCTGCCATCCCACATGTGTTTAAATTGGAAGCACTGGACTTTATGTAACTCAAGTACATATTCAGTTCTTACACTCCTTAACAGTTCTTAGTCAATAGCTGAAAAAAAAAAAAAAAAAAAAAAGCTTAAACTGATAACATTCCAATATAAAGAAGGAAAATAAATCAAATGAAAACCAAACAAACAAAAGCCAAGTAAAAAAAAAAAAAACAAAAAACAAACAAAAAAAACCAACCTAAAGAAAACCAACACCAAAACCAGGAATAGTACAGCTCAGACTAATTAGAACAGGAAGAAAAAAAAAAAAAAAAAAAAAGGAGGAAGACAATTTAAAAAAACATATTGCATTATCCATAAAAACAGATGCTCACACCAATATGTGTTAAAGTAAAAATGAAGGAACTATATTAACCACCCTCAGGGTGTTCATAAATGCCTACAGACATTTAAAAATCTCTCCTTCTTCTGTAAGCATGGCCAGAAATAAAAGAAGAATGTTTCTAGTCCAAGGGCAAATTGCATCATTATCAAAAACCTGTGTACTTAAAAAGAGACACCACAATAAAATAAGAACACACAATCCATTAGTTCTCAAAGTTATTCTGAAAGACCTTTAAAATTTACACCTAACAGTAATAGTTCTAAAAAGCAAGATTCTGTAGGAAGCAATCCAGCAAGTCCTCTTCCACCACAGCCTCATCATCTCTTATTTAATGCTCTTTCTAATTTCTACCTTATAACACAACCTCATTCACAGCATAAGAACCTTTCAACTACCACTTCATAAAAACCAAGAAAAACAAGTAATACATGCTTCTAAATTCTGCACTATCAGAAACAGCTATTCCTTCCGTTGACTCTATAATATGGAATGATAACTAGAAAAATACCACAGTTAATTTTTACTGAAGTTTGCTATGTTGATATCATTATATCACTCTACCAACTGTAACAGTACCAGGGAAAGTAACAATGGTAAAGGTTCATCCTTGAACAGTCTCTTCAATGTTATTGTCAAGATTCGAGCAAAACAGGATCAAAATATATCACCTTATACTCTGGTAGCAATGACAGACAAGTAACAGCTAACGATAGGATGTGGATGTTACTTAGGACTTTTTCACACATCCTGCAAAGGATGCAGTAATAATCTGCATAAAACACAAGGATTTTCTGGGATCAGGTCCACAGAACAAAGGTTATGCATGACAGGCTAACACCATCTTTAACAATCTGACACCTCTTGAAATCCTACAGAGCTGCATTTAAAACCCTGCAGATGCTTTCCTTTATGTGAACAGCACTAGTGCTAAACTCATTACATTCATGGCAACCAAATATTTAATAGCTCCAGCAGCAAGAGAAGACCTGCAGTAATGTCACCCACACAGCAAACAGCCAACCTCACATGAGTATCTACAAGTGACACCCTAATAAAGAAATACTATGACCACCACCACACAGTGGAAATCATATTGATAATTAACTCTACTTACTTCTGTTAAGAAAATATTTCTGAGGCCATTCACTTCTGTCACTTGTCATTAGTCTTCATTTTAATTTTTTTTTTACCTCGAAAGGAAAATTTGTTAACTATTTATTACATAAGAAGAAACCTTAATCCTAAAGTTTTGGGGAGCACAGAGTTCCTGAGAAGTTAAAAAACCATCCCCATGAGCTTCTGATGGTACCAAGCTCCTGTCAAATGTTGGAAATATATTAAAAAGTTAAATAATTCAAACACCATTACCTCCAGTCCTGCTATACAAACGCATTACTATTTTTGTTCAATATTAAAGTCTCAACCTCAGAGAGGTTTAATCACCTACTTGTAAAAGAAGCCAGTGATAAAAGAGCAGCACTTACATTGTTCATGTACTCGCTGAGCAGGTCCTGCAGGGCCTGTCGCACCGCGTTGCACTCGGCTACGATCCGCTCCCGACGGTCGTCCCTCGTGCAGGAGGAGTCTGCCATCAGTGCTGCTCCACTGATGATGCTCTCCAGCCTCTCCTCCAGAGATGGTCTGAAGCGGGCCTCACTGAAAGTCATGGGGTCCAAAATGATCTTGTTCTAAAAAACAAAACATGAGCGGGAAAATTAGGAGCGTGCATGGGTCCTCAGGATTCCTTAGATATCTTTTTTCTCAGCCATCTCACAGGGTTCTTAGGCTTCCACAGCAATAGATTGTCTACAAAATACCTGAAAAATTACATAAATATCTGTCCTGGTTTGAGCCAGGATTAAGCCAATTTTCCTTTTACTGACTTTTTTTCCTTCAGCAAGCTTTAACTAGCAACAGTGGGGTACTAAAGGTGCAACTAAAGGTGATAAGACAGAGGAATGTTTTTCTAACTGCTGGGACTTCAAGGTCACATCTTTACCCTGCCGGCTCAGACACTACAGGGAGATCTATTGACCCCCCCATAGGAGACTGAGTTAGACAGAGAGAAAACTGGCCAGAGATATTCCATTCCATATATCTACATAAGCTCAGAGGAAGGTCAGAGATCACAGAAGAAACTTCCTTTTTGCTTCTTCTTCCCTTCTCCTTCATCCATGGCCAGTGTCTGGGGAGGACTCCGTCCATTCATCACCGTCACCCCCCAGGCTTGAGCTCTCCTGACCCTCATCACTCTGTGCTCTCTCCAGCAGCTCCGGAATTCTTTGGGACTGTTCCCAGCTCAGGAGATGCTGTGGGAGTTGCTGGGGTTGAGGGGAGGCGAGAGGCTTTTGCTCATACCTGCACATATTTATATATAATTGTATATATATTTTCTCATATCATTAGTGTTTAATTAAAGCTGAACAGTTTAGTTTTCAATCCAGCCAAGTCTCTCTCTTTCTCTCTCTCTCCTTCCCTACCTGGGTGGGAGGGGGAGGGGATCAAGACCGTTGTTGTCAGACCCGAGTCAAATGGTGACAATATCTTATAGCCTTGAAATCCCAATACATAAATAAAATTGTGCAGGGCAAACGTTTCCCAGAGAGGTTGTAGATGCTCCCTCCCTGGCAGTGTTGAAGGGCAGGTTGGATGGGGCTTGGAGCAACCTGGGCTGGTGGGAGGTGTCCCTGCCCATGCAGGGGTTTTGGACCTTGATAATCTTGAAGGTCCCTTCCAACCCAAACTAGCTTGTGAGTCTTTATACAAATAATTCCCAACCTAGAGTTATAAAAGACTATTGTCGAGAGCAACACAACTGGCTCAGATAAGTAGGTGGAAAGCACACAGCATACAACAAATCAATATGAAGTACTGCAGTATGTATGCAATATCTCTCTATATTATATGTATATATTGCATCTTGAAGTAAATTACTACACATTTTTGAATCTTCTAGGAATTTCTTGGATACTCAGGAAATTAATATGAAGGTGCAAATATTCAAATAATTGTAATTATGCAAGTTCCTGAAGAGGAAACAGAATATTCTCTGAATTAACTAATTCCTTAATTTTGATTATTTTTATTAGCAGACTAAATTGCTGAAATGCTACTAGATAATCTCAGTATTGAACAAAAAACAAATGAAGGAACTGCCACTAACACTGCAAAAACCTCCATTATTAGATAAATACACTTAGATAAAAATGTGAAATATCTGAATCCCATTCTGCAGCACATCTTTAAAAGCCTTTTTCTAAAGGCTTTTGCAATGTTTTTGTTTGTTTGTTTTCATACCAGGAAAAAGTGCTGGATTACTGAACTAAAAAGAGAGCACTACAGGATGACAGCCTAAAAATGTCTTTAATTTGTCCAATAGCCTACTGGTTACCAAAATATACTGACTTCACTAGGAAAAAAAAAAAAGAAAAAAAAAAATTCAAAGACTGTTTGCTATACAAGACATTTCAATTCTTAAATTATGATCACTGCTAAACAATTGTGCACTTTAGGTATCAAACCAAATATCAAATAGTGCTAAACCACATAGATTCTACCTCTATTAATGCAGAACTTCATGTAATACTCTGAATTCTGAGTCACCACTAGATTATATTCTGATTTACTTTTTGCCCTTTGTAGTTCAAGGTAACAAACACAAAAGAAATAATCTCCTGTTCCCACTTACAGGCGCATTATCAACACTGTGTAATTCAGTAACCTTTTGATGCAATCATGCAAAGAAGTTTTGTAATTGTATATTGTCTAAAAGTGTTCAGTAAGCCATGCACTTCTTATTTGAGCTCTAAAAGAAAATAAATCAGGAAACAGGAATAGAAGAAGCAGACCTGAAAAAGTTACAAGCATTCAGTTTTCTAATAATCACATCATTTTAAAGCACATTGGGTGTTTGTTAATGAGCTATTTTAATTTTCACAACAATTTCATAACTTTATGATTAGTCTGTTTCCTTAAACACCCACAAGCAATCAACAAGCACAAGCCAAATGGCACAGGCAATTTGAAAAAATACACCTATATGTACTAAAATGTAAATTGGGATTTAGGGACACGACATAGAAGGTATATCTTACTCTAACACTGAAGACTGTACCAGCTTAGTACAAATCAGAATGTGCTATAATAACTTATTCTAGGCTAAATTCTGATCCCAAGTGAATAAATTTTGTCTAATTCAGGGTGATGAGGCTTTTGCAAAATACCTGTTTGTTTCTCATGAAAGCTTCCAATTAACTCCACACAGAAAACCTGGGACTCTCATGACTCTACAGAGAAAGAGGATTAAGAACTGAAAAATCTGTAATTTAAGAGAAAGGGCAGCAGTAAAACAGTGACAAACACAAGGACGTCAGGAAAGGTATAAAGATTAATTACTTAATAAAAAAGAAAAAGAGAGTATTTTTTACTAGATCATGCATTGTTCCTGCTCCAGGAACTGTTGACTCAGCAGCACTACCCAGAGTGTGAAATAATGTTTCACATGTATCTTCTAGGGTCTGTGTTTCACAGCAGTAAGCAGAGCAGTTTTACAAGCACCTAAATTAAAAATTACTTCTGTGAGAGTAAGGCCTGTGCAGAGGTAGCTGTGCTTTTCCATACAATAATAATACTCCATGGACAGAGTCTACCACCACACTTATGTGCATAAGCTTTGGGATTTTCAGAAATCAACTATAAATTCATCTTCACAACAGCATATTTAATTCATAGAATTACAGAATTGTAGAATGTGTGGGGTTGGAAGGGACCTTTAAAGGTCATCTTGTCCAGCCTCCCCTGCAGTGAGCAGGGTTGGGTTTTTTTGTGTGTGCTTTGTTTGTTGTTGTTGTTTGTTTGTTTTAAATAAATGACAGTGTTATTGGTTATAGTGCTGGTTTTGGGGTGTGTTTTTTTTTTGTTTTTCAATCACCATTAAAATGGTCCTGAACAAAGGCAGGAAGTACACTTTACTAGAGAGTAGAAGATCACCAATAGCCCACAAAATCTCTGCTTGTAGCAAACCTCTTTTCTCAATCCATAAACTTGACCAAAGCAGCAGGGTTATAGGTGCACAGAACTATGGCAATTTTCCTGTTGCAGTTAAGGCAACATAATCTACTCTTCCATAGATGTCTCACTTCTCCTCCTCTTCCTTACAGCCATAGGTGTAAGGGTCTCCACCTACACAGAAAATTTCTCACAGCAGATCTTACACTCATCAGCAAGTCAGAAATCACATTTTTCTTCTTAGAGGCTTTTGAAGACACAGCAATCCAAAGCCTTCTGTCAAACCCAAGGACCTACCAAGATTGCATTTCTGAAGTACATCCATCCTTCTGGAGTTTTGAGGATGGACAATCTGCAAATCAAGTATCTCCCATATCTCTAATCACTGCAACCCAACTCACTATTTTCATAAGCATTATCTCATACTCCATGAATATATTCAGGAAGTTCTGTACTCATTCCATGTGTCACTTTTAAATTAAAAAGTGTGTATCGTTCAGGGCGTATAACTAATTTAAGCCACTGCAAAACACAGAAAAGGAACACATTAGTGGTGTTTTGTTGTTTTTTTTAAATAGAGAGAACAAAAGCCACTGAATTGCACTCAGTAATTTTTCATTCATACCCCACAAAAAAATTTTGTTCATAATGAATTTTTATGCTTAAGAATCCAGTTAAATATTAGTTTGGGATATTCTCTCCATGAACATTCAGAATCACAGAGCACTTTAGGTGTTAGAGCCAGAAATTAAGGACTAACACCATAATTCAGGCCTTATAATGAAGTGTTTCAAGCCTCTTTACAACTGTAGAGAGATGACTGTAAATTGTATCTTTGCTATGAACATACAGCATTTTTGGCTTCAGTTGCTGAAACAAAAGCCAAGAAAATGAATTTAAATATGACTGCAGACTTATTTGAAAACTGTTAAATTTGGGCTAATATCTTCTTCAAGCATGTTGTAGTGAACTATTTCCTTTTTTTTTTTTTTTTAAATTATGTAAAGGTGTGCTTCTAGAGTAGCTGCAATGTTTTCATAAAGAACAAAAACGTTCAGAAAATAGACCTCATCTAATTAGTGCTACAGTTAGTGCTGTAAGTCAACTTTATCTTGCTCAAACAGGAAGAAACTATCACAAATACTAACAAACTATAGGGCAGCACTTCCAAAATCTAAAATATCACATAAATTATTCATGTTTCAATTAAAAATATTGAAAATAGCCAAATATCCTCCCTACATGCATTGAAACTTGGTGAAGTTTATCTGGATGAGAATATCTTTTTCAAAAATATCTAAAAAATCAGTTTTAATTAGAAGTATAAAGCAAACCAAAACATTTAATAAAATTAATCTTTAAAAACAATTTTACAACTCAAAAAAACCTGTGATTTCTTCATCATTATCTGTGTTTTCCAAATTAAGCAGGTGTTCTTGCAAAACCTTACATGCATTGCTTTATTGTTTATGAGATATCTGATCATCTGCAGGTTTCCTCCAGTAGGAAGTCTTAAGAAGGCCAATGGAATCCTGGGGTGCATAATTCTGGGCCAGTAGGTCAAAAGAGGTCATTCTCCCCCTCTACTCTGCTTTGGTGAGACTACATCTGGAGAACTAGGACCACTTCTGGGCTCCCCAGTTCAAGAGAGTCAGGGAACTACTGGAGAGAGTCCAGTGGA